GCCATCATTACGCACCGTCGTCTCACCCAACCGGTGACGCCCGCCCGCGAGCACTTAATGGCTACACTCCACGTGTACCCCCCCAACGGCCATAAATCTGACGCTACATATTCCAACGGCTATATTTCCAACGACTATATTCTGGAAGCCCCCGGGTTTTCTACTTCACTCCACTTCATCAAGGAGAGCCTCCGGGTACACTTACCCAGAAGCGCCCCCGGGTTGTGCCCCACACAGCACATAGCAGATGCCTTCGGGATCACTCCTTCAGAAACCCAAGGCTTCACATCAGGGCACCCCTCGGGGATTCCCCCTCATCACTGCAAAACCGGGTAGCCCACGGGGAGTTGCCTCATTGACGGATAACCCATGGCACACAAGTAATGGGAACCCTTCGGGTATCTTCATCATCAACTAATCAACAAACAGTAGACCCCCCGGTAACAATTCCACTGCTGCCCTCATCCGGCAGGCCCTCGATCCCCGGATCGAGGGGCCCCCTTCGGCGCCCCCAGGACATCAACAGCAAGCCTTCGGCTAATCAACACATGAGCCCTCAGAACAAGGAAGAGCCTTCGGCATTACCGTTGTTCTCCATTTTTGACCAAGGTTTCACATTTTCGATTCATCATTGGGGGAATTCGGTGCACTCTTTTTCCCTCATTAGGATTTTTTCCCCCAGGGTTTTTCCTAATGAGGTTTTTAACGAGGCATCCCCCCAAAATGAAACGAAAAGCGTCAGCCTTCGGCCCACAACAGCAACACAACTACTCTACTCCTTTTCACCACTTTACAAGTGCCTCAAGGAGTGGGGACCGGAGAACCCTCTCGGGAAAATCATTAAATTACAAAGTTAGTGAAATTCCAACAAACGACAAAGCAAGCCCTCAAGTCCCGACATGTGGGTAACTGAGGGACTGCCTTCGGCAGGGACATAAAAGCAACAACTCCTCACCAACTTCAGAAATCACGACGGGACAACACCAAAGGGCAAGCACAAATTACTCCTTTTCCCTCAAGTACCTTTCGGCAAAAGGAGTGAGGGACTCCTGATGGAGTATATGGCCCGGGAACCCCCGGCCCACAGACTCCCACTACTCCAGCGAAGGCCCAACAGGCCCAGAAGGCCCAACAGGCCCAAATCACAGCGCCCAGAGTACCAAGCAGCCCGCACTACGCGCCAGGGGTGCCCTCGGCCCCTGGCCGAAGGCTCTAAACTCTCACAGAACGGGTTTCTCAAGCAAATTAAGAAACTGGGAGAAAACGGCGAAAACAGTAGCCCTCGGCACCGTGAGCCCTTGGCACCAGGGTGCCATCGGTTGGAGGAGCCCTCGGCTACTGCTCTATAGCCGAAGGCATCTCACTCGACAAGATATCCGCCTCACATGCGTACAGATCACCGTACCCTGCACAGACGTCCCATCCAACAGCCGCATTAAATGCGGCCACATGCGGCTGCCAGCGTCAACCAGTTGAGGTGACCCCTCGGCCAATGAGCGCTTGACACGTGTCCCTGTCCGGCATTTATTGCTACTATAAATAGCACCCCATTTCCCCATTTGTAACCACGCTGAAAACGCTCCACATTTATAATACTCTCTCTCTCTACATTTAGTTGCTCTGACTTCTCTCTAAGTTATTCCCCGCAATAAACCTTCGGATACATACCCCTGGGTAGACTATCCATCATCCCCATAATTTATATGATGTATAATTATAAAAGAAACCCCTACTCCCATTATTTAGCCTAATAATGCCAAAGATGGGACCATAGACATTTGTATTCTTCTCCAATCATTCTATCACTTATTTATGACATTAATATTCATATAGCTGGGCTACTAACCGTGTGGGTCACCCTCCAGTGGGTCTAGGACGTCATTCTTGAATAATTGCTATTTTTAGCAGGTTAGGCCCAAAATAACATTTGGGTTGCCCGACCGTTCTTACTTTGTATCGAAGGGTTATATATTTTTATTTAAGAATGTTGGGCTCCAATATAAATAAGATGACCCAATTAATTATTTAGAAGTTCATTACTATTATACGAGCCCAAACAGTAATATGATTAATCACACTTTACGTAAAACTTTAATCGTTTTACAATTGTTCGATAATAGGGAAATTCAATACATAAGCTTTGAAATTTAGTTTGAATTTCAAGGACGTTCAGGTGCGGTGTTACAGTCCATGTAATTTTTTCTGACAAAATGCAAGTTCATGTCATTTCTATCTTCTACACTTTCGTGCCTCACCACAAAGTTTCAAACACTTTCAAACATTTCCAAAGGTCATGAAGTGTTGCATATTTATGACATCTTTGATCACCAACAAACACCTTCTCTTTTCTTCATAAATTTGGCAACATTCAGAAAAAATGTTCTTCCAATTCTGGGGCACATCACAACCACTAGCACCTTTTCACTTGAATTTGATAAATCTTCCAAAAACTTCAAACTTCTACACTTCAATGGTAATTTTTCAGATAAGTGTCATATTCTGACCAAGGGAAGCCCAACATGGAAGAACTTGCTCCATTCCAGTGCTGAGTTTGAACTTGGAGATGCTGGTTGTACATGCATTGATGAAAAACTATATTACAAAAAAGAAAATAAAGAGATTATATCGGTGACATTCTTCAACTTGTAGAATGAAACATTTCAACAACAATCTGTTCCAGCAGCCTCTCTTCATGAAGAAGGTCCTGCATGGTGGTTCGACCATCCAAAATTTTTAAAGAAATATTAAATTTCAAAGGAAAGGTAGGACTACTTTGTGGGCTGAATGTTTGGATTTTGGAGCAGTCTGGTTAGGGCGAAAAGGACATTATACTTCCTGAGGAAATGGTTAATAGTGAATTCACTTGTGACGAATGCAATGGTAAGATTGTCATCAAGTCATCTGAAGCAACATATGAGCCATCAAATTACTACCTCTATGGCTTGGAGACGTCTGAGTGTAAAGAAGCTCTCTCCATTGAAGTACACAGACGAAATTTTAATGATTATATATCAAGTTTAGGAATTCCAACAGGTCGTTGTGTAGTTAAACTATTGAACTGCGTAGTAAACATTGTAGAAGTATAAAATATTAATTATGCTAAATGTATGTTAAAATATACGTTATTATGAAAGAAAATGTATATTATTATGGGTTAGTCCACCATATGTTAATCGGCTAATTAAAAAAAGATAATGAGGTCGACAAGTTGACTTCATAGCAATAATGCAACAATAATGTTTATATATAGTTCAACCATTACTTGGTTGGACTATATAAATCGTCCATAATCGAGCACTACTTGGTCAAACTATAAATAAGTACACAATTCCAAATGTGAAAAAGTATTGTTTTTAAACCATCACAAGTCACAAACAATTTCTTAAAAGTGACACCAAGGATTCTTAACTCATTCTACCACACACATTTAACTCTATTATATATTCTATATTGTGCTAGGGTGGTGACTCTACGTCGCAGTCACCAATTGCTATCATCAAAACACAACCAGACATGATGTTAAAAAACACCAACTTTAAACTTTCATGTGAACAGAAGCGATCTTTGACTACCTGAAACAAGGGCGGAATGGCACTGTCGACTTGAACACTCTTGGTATAATTTTACAGGTGCAGTAGACCTCCTCACAGATCCCATCTACAACTATATGATCGGGTCAATACCAAACATAACTACTCTTGAAAGTTATTTGAATGATATACTTCAATATAGTGTTGGGTGTGTTTCGGGAAAACGAAGAAATATTAATTAAATAAAATTAATTAATAAATAAATTAGCTAAAAGAAAACAGAAATAAGATGGAGCAGATTTTAGCCAGAGCTCGTGCTACGCATGATGAGCTGAAAACGTATTCGTCGCCTCCCACGGTGCTAGGAGCGTTGCAACAACCGTTTCCCAGGATACGGTGGCTAACGAACGATCGTTTGAGCACACAAACGAAAGTCCAGGCGAACTGGAACAATAGCAGAACACTTGGGAGATTTTCAGAGAGCTGAAGGTGTTTTTGAGAACTAAAATACGTGTATGATTGCTTTTGTGAACGTGTAAGAACATGTCTTTGTTGCAAACCACTTGCCAGCTATTTATAGGAGGATTTGTTGTGTGTTAAATGGAGTGTTAATGGACCTGAACGTTGGACATCAATGACCAGTCCGTTGGGCATTGAATCGTCCATAAACTGTCCATTTAACGCAGCATTAAAAGACATCAATGACCAGTCCATTGGGCATTGAATCGTCCATAAACTGTCCATTTAACGCAGCATTAAAAGAGAAGAACGTTGGGCATGTATTGTTGTAACGGACTAGAAAACCTTCTAGTGCGAACAGAATACCTCCACCGAGGTGTTCTGGTCTGAAGCCAACAGAAGACCCCAAGGCCTTCTGTCATGGTCGCCCACGCACACGAGTCGCGGTTTTTCTTCTCCGTTTCGGGATTTGATCGGCATCCCCGTGCGCGTAAGAGAGAACCTTTACCTTTAGGAATCTTAACTCCTTAAAAGAAGCTTCCCTTTATAAGGGGGTGAAAATCTCTTTGGTTTTCCGGTGTGGGATAAAACACACTAGAAATCCATCATTTTCCCAGTTTTTCCATTTCAACGAGTGAACTTCAAGAATCAATTCCTCATTCACCCGTTATCCGTTTTGAGCGTACCATATATCGAATTGTAGCTCTTAACAAGGATAATCCGAAATCACTTTGACCCGACCCAAATCGGAAGTGAACCCCACTCAAATAATTGCCCCAAAATCACCATTTAATGCAATTTTTAACACATTTTTCCAACATATAGTTGTGTATACGGCGGCCAATGATAAAGTTAAATCCTCCTTATGGATATATAATTCAATTTTAATTAATGAAATTTACATATTCAGAAATTACATTAAAATATCTACAGAAATACATAATCAAATTAAAATTTAATTAAGAATTCATATCCTAATTAAGTGATTAAAATGAAACTAGAGAGCATAGTGTTCATGTATTTTGTATCGCGTACATTTTCTAGTTCAAATAAACCGATATCCAACTGAAACGAAAACAGGCCCACCCCTGGCGAAGATGGAAGTCCGAAGTCGGTCTTGTTCTTCCTAAATCCGCAAATCGCAGAACGGAATAAACAGAGCGAGAGCGAGAGCCGCACAGGGCCAGAGACCCGCCGCCACTCGTCGTCGCCCATCGCCCTCTGTCCGCGGTCCGTCTGTCCGCCGCCGCATTCGTCAGCCCGGCTGACCGCGTCGCATCGTGCTGCCCGCCGCTCCACTGCCAGTCTCCCAGTCCGGCAGTTGGCAATCTCATTATATCAATCTCGCTGACTCTTTCTCTTGGCAGTCAGCCTCAGGCCTCAGCCACAAGCCTGGCAGGTGAGTTTTGTTACTTCGTAAATTTTACTATCTATTACTCCCCTAGTCCTAAAGATACTTTTCTTAGACACTTGGTCAAAACAAGTGACCCCATTTTATTCTGATTTTTGAGATTTTGTAAAACTTTTAATCTAATTTCTGAATAAAATAATTTGGGTGCAACAAAGACATGTTTTCTTTATCCTCGGGCTTAAAGTGCCTTACAATTCGTTGCTGACGTAGGGAGTATTTTAATTTAAGTATTTTAATAATTCGTGGGTTCAATTAACATTTTAATTTCATACTATCTCGGTCCCATAATAATTGATCAACTTTCCTTTTTTGGTCGTCCCAAAATACTTTTTCATTTTCATTTAAAGTAACAAATATGTGGCTAAAGTTATTTCTCTCTCCTCTGCACCAATATCAAACACACAATTTTTACTTTATTAATCTACGTGCAAGTCAACATTGGCTAAGTATTATGGGACGGAGGGAGTACTACATACTACCTCCGTACCAAAATGATAGTCCTGTATTTACTTTATAGGATGTCCCAAAATGATGGTCCTGTTTCCATTTTTGGAAAGAAAGGTGTGGTCCATATCATTTCACTTTATTACACTCAAATCTCAACCACAATTTTTACTTTTTCAACCACTTTATTAAAACTTGTACCCAAAAGAAATGAGACTGTCAAATTGGGACGGAGGGAGTATACAGTATGTACTCCTTCCGTCCCAGAAAATTCTTCCCAGTTTGACTTGCCACGCATATTAAGAAAGTGGAGTGAAGTGAAAATGTATGGTTGTAGACTTGTAGTGAGAAGAATTTTTTGGGACGACTCAAAAAGGAAAGTGAGAAGAATTTTATGGGATGAAGAGAGTATTTCTTAAAAATATAATTATGAATTTAAATGCATTTTAATCATAATGTTCAAACTGTCTACTCGTTTAAATAGTTTTTGGTTTACCATCGCCTCCCGAACCTCCATCCTGAGTTCCTGACTAGGCCCCTGTCACCAACTTATGTCTATTTGTAATATATCTGAATATATGCAAATAAAATAAAAAATATCAATCATACTTAATTTGCTTTTAATGGTGTGATGCAAAATAATAAAATATCATTTCGTAGCATTAGTTTTCTTGTTCTAAACATTACTGATTATCCTAACATGTCGTAAAAGAATGACTTTGAATCGTCCTAACAATTCTTAAAGAATTCAAATCAACCAACCTACGATTCTAATAGTATACGCATGTTTCTATATTTTACGATACATTTGATTAATCGCATTCTTTTTTGCCATCTTCCCCCCCTATGAAGATATCCTGGCTCCGCACCTCTAGTTCACCACTATACTTGTTGTTCGAAGAACATTATTCATAAGCTACACTAGTAGTAACATTTTAAACCGATACGTCGAGTGAAAATGAAATAAAAAATGGCATTGAAGACTTGGACATCCGTTGTTAAAGATGGTGGAGAAGGTTTTGAGGCTTAGGTTTTTTTGCTGGACAAGAAGCTTACGCCTCAAAATATAAGACGTACGCCCTAAGGCGCGTCTTGAGGCGTTTTTGTGAGGCATTTTTCCTTTGCTTCTATCTTTTTAATGTGCTCGTAGCTTAAGAAGGCAATGTTTTTATTTAGTAAAAGGCTTATACATTCAACATGTGTCTACACTAAAGACAAACTAGAGCCTGTTTGGTAGCACGAAAATCGGCTATTTTGGCTGATTCTGCTGAAATTTATGAAGTTCTAGCTGAAGTGGCTGCATTGGCTGATTCTGCTGATCTAAGAAAAAAATATTTTTGAAATATATTTTATTAATAAAATAAAGAAAAAATTATATGTAAAAATAGCTAAAATGATCATCTATAGTAACTTCAGCCAATACAACCAGAAAAGTAACTCCAACCTTGCTTTTTCGGCTTATTACACAATTCAGCGCGCGAAAACAAAATTTACGTGTTTGATAAAAAAGTTGGTTGATAAGCCTGATAAGCTGAAAATGAGGGTTGCCAAACGACCTCCTAGTCTTGTTCCATTTAAACCCTAACATATACTCCCTATTAAGCATTCTACGTATCATTAAAACTTATCCATATTTCTGAAAAAAGAAGCAAATGGGTAACCAAGGAAAAAATAAAAAAAATAAACAAGTAATGGAGGTAAATGATGATGAAGAGGAGAAAGAACTTAAGTATTTTGATAGTGATGATAGAAGGAATGACAGCAAAGAGGCTTTAAGATATAAAAATATAATGATTATCGATAGAGAGCCGGGGTGGGAACGGGCTTGGGCCCACCTCCGTGGGCTGGTTGTGGGCTGGGATTATGGTTTTATTTATTATTATAAAGTTTATGTTATGTTTTCTAGTTTGGGCCTATTATTAGTAAAGTATTTAGTAGAGTTAATTTGGGCTTAATTAGTGTTTACTTATTTGAGCTCGACTAGGATTTCTAGTTGAGTCTCTTACTAGAAGACTATTTATACACCTTGTTGCTGATCGATGAATAAAATTGGAGTTTACCCTTTTGGCTCTAGGCTTGGTTGTTGTTGTTGTACCCTTTTGGCTCTAGGCAACGGTTTCTATTGTTGATTCTGGGCAACAGTTTCTAGAGGCTTTTTTTGTTGCTAGTCATGATGATTAAGCTTCGAGAGTTTGAAATTTTCATATATGTGATATGTCTGTTTTGGGTTTGAGTTATAGTGTTTGATGTTGTGATCATATAGTGTTTGAAACTTTCTGGGACTTTTATCATGATATCTATAGTTGGTTATTACTAGTTTAACTATTTTCACTTTTACTTGTTGGTAAATTTTGAGGCTTACGCCTCAATACGTTCGGAGGCTAACACCTCAATACGTCCGGAGGCTTACGCCTCGCCTCTCTCGAACAAACCGCCTTGATACTCGAACTAGCCGTTTTAAACCTTGCAAACTAGTTGAATTAAGGATGTTTCCTTTTGGACTGAAATTTGCTGATTTGGTATGGTCTGTTTAAGTCTGGTCTGGTCTGAAAGGGTCTGGCCTAGGACTAAAAACAGTCCAAAAGAAAACATCATAAGTGTTTGATGATTGCCTACGAGCAAAACGTACTCGAAGTAGATTTCCTTCTAGTTCAATAAGATGCCTATCGTTTTTGAGTTAATTCAAGAGGTGTTTGGATCTACTTCTTAAAATTGCTTCTTCTCCTTCATAGAGCAAAAGCAGAAGCGGATATTGGGGTGTTTGGATGAAAGTGCATAAGTACTTTTGAGTGCTCCAAAATGCTCCTAGAAGCAGTTTTTTAGAAGTCGGAGGAGGTCAGCTTATGAAAAACTGATTCTGATTCGGTTTCTGCTTTTAAAAAAGAAGCATAAGAAGAATCAATTACAAACACCCCCTCATTGTGACTTGTGGGGTTCGTATCGATCACTCATTTTTAACGATTTCTGGTATTTTACAGTAGTGGATGATTTTTCTCGAGCTCTTTGGATATTTTTTATTTCCAGCTGTTGTGTCCAATATTCTAAAGAATTTCTTTGCTATGGTGTTGCGCCAATTTCACGCCAACCTGAAAATTGAGTGAAGTAATAATGGAAAGAATTTACTTGTATATGTGACTATATTTCATCTCAGGGCATCTTGAATGTAACCTTCTATTGGGCCATTGGGGGACACCCCAACAAAATGGACCCGTTGAGACTATATTTCATCTCAGGGCATCTTGAATGTAACCTTCTATTGGGCCATTGGGGGACACCCCCAACAAAATGGACCCGTTGAGAGGAAACATTGTCACATATTGAATGTTACTCGTGCCTTGATGTATCATGCATCTCTTCCTATACAATTGTGGGGCAACTGTATTCTTTCATTGGGTTATTTGATCAATCGAACATCATCTCTTTTGTTGCACAGAAAGTCACCGAATGAGCTCCTTCATGGTTGGGCTCCTAGTCTTGGTCACCCAAAAACATTCTTGAAGTTTTTGTTGGGTATCTTCATGGAAAAAGGGATGGCATGTCTAGTGCAGGGACACATGACACTTTTATCATTACACGTGATGTTTTTTCTGAGATTGTGCTCCCTTTTGCTGATCCTCTAAAACTTTCTGAGGAGCCTATTATTACACCTATCCACAGGATAAGGAGAGACATTCATTGATTTCTTGTCTAGCCAAGCCATTCGTTGATCATCCTCATAGGAATGATTCTGCTACTCAGCCACAAGTAGGGGGGTGATCCTACATCATCACCTCGTGTTGTGTCTTCATCACCCCCACTAACATGCAACCAAAATATGGACGAGGAAAGGGAGTGTGTACCCTCTGTACGACTTCGTGACTATGTTAAGGTACAAACACAACTTCCCCGTCTTAAAACGTGAAACTTGAAACCATTGTTTGATTGGATTGGTTTGTTTTAGTTCGGGTTTCATTGTTTTTCCACAAAAAATATGATTATTTGATTTAAAATGATACAATAAAGTTGGAGGGGGGAATCAGACATATTACATAACAAAATACAAGCATACTAGAACACACACATGTAAATTAAGATTATAAATTGTCTATAAAAAAGTTAAAGAAGTTTTGTTTTTAAAAGTTGTTTACCTTAATTTAGTCTTTTCTATTTAACATTTTTGTCATGTCAATATAACTTTCAAAAATTCCTAAACAAAAGTGTATATATTCTTAATTTACTTTTTTTGTGATTAGTTAGAAGAAAGTTCATTAACATATACACTCAATATGAGGTTTAGTTGAGATGAATATTTTTTTATTTTGTCAATATAAAAACTTTAGGTTAGATAAAAACAAAAGTTACTAGTAATAAGCGGTGAAAACACATCAGCATCACGCAACAAACTACAAACTGCATGCATAAAAAAATTAATAGATCAGCATAGTTAACAGGATCAATATAGCTATATTATTGTAGGGAATGAATGTGTAAATAAACTTTGTATACTAAACTAAATCACAAATATAATAACTTAACATCTAATAAGAAATTACAATAAAAAAAATAAGAAATTCGTAATATGTGTAACACAAAACAATGATATTCGGATTATTGCTTAATGGCTAACATATAAAATATCATATCCTAATTAGTTCGGTTTTATTCAGTGCGGTTCAGTTTTAGAAGACCAGAACCAAAGCCAAACCAAACAACTACAGTTTGGTTTTCTGCATTCTATTTCAGTTTTTTTCCCGTTCAATTTAGTTTGGTTGAGGTTCGGTTGAAGTTCTGCTGATTTTGATGTGGTTTTAAGTTTTTCGAACCTACGCTTTGCCGCCTTCTGCCCTGCCTCTTCATTGTGCTCCGCCTTCGGGTGCATCGCACGTATGACGCTGGCTTCCCTTCTTTTGCCTCTTTCATCTCCGCTTTCACCATCTTTGCGTTCTGATATCAACAATTGATAATCAACTTCTTCATTCTACACTGCTGCATAGTCTGAGGCCCTGCTGTTCTGCATTCTAATTTCTAATGTCAACTTCATCGTTGGAAGGCAACATGCCTGAACTATTTGCGGTTTTCCCCTTCGGCCCTCTTTGATTCTTTTTTAAATTAGTTCATAGTTGTTGATAGATGATTAGTTAATTTATCTGTTATTTTAAAGTTGACTTGTTGGATTTTAAGTGATTAGCACAAGGGCTTTTGTTTTTGTAACCGCGATTCTACTTTGCTTAATTTCTTACTAAACAAATTTAAATATGTTCAGTATTATCTCTTGATATTATTTAGATTACCTTATGCTGTAATTTGTAACTGCAGTTCTACTTTATTTCATTCAATGAATTTCAAAAGTCATTTATTTAAAATAAAGATATTGAAATACTGTTATTAAGAATGTTAATTTTTTTTTTGGAAGAATGAATGTTAATTTAATTAGAAAAAGTGTTTACATTTTTTTTATATTAATCCAAATATAAATTACCCGTCTTTGGGCTTTTAAGAATGCAGATTTAAGGATACAGACAGGTCTTGTTCCCACCTGCCTATTGTTTCCCATGTCGCCTTCAGAGAATCCGTTGCAGCTTATCTTCCAATCATTCGAGAAGGTATCAAATAGCATCCAAACCCATCTCTCCCACTTCCTACGTTTTCCAAACACTACAAATCCACCCTTTGGTATTTCCACTACTTCAATATCAAACAACTTGGCTCCAAGACGTGCCACCTCAGATCTTCTCCAACCCACTCCAATTCCAAAGAAGGTAAGTTCAAGCACACGAGCGACTGCATTGGTTCTTCATTTTGATCTCGTCTGAGCATCATTTGCATTTCTTGAATGTTTTTTAGGCAATGGGTAAATAGTAATATGTGCCCATTAGATATTCGATACAAAGTCCAGTAAACATTCATGCAAATCAGCTATGTGTTGCTCTTCCGTTTCATGCTCGTTGAGAAAAATTATCAGATTTGTACATGATGTAGATTTAAAGAGTTAATGCAGTTTGTTAATGGGTTACTATCCTCTTTCCCAAGTCCATTCAGGAAACGTTTGATGGCCCAGTGATTAAAGAAGAACTTGGAAGGGCCACTTGGACTTTTCTTCACACTCTTGCATCTCAGGTTATTTCATGCTTATTTCGTCATATTTCCTGTTTTTTTCTTGTTTTTTAATCAGCCTATATCCTTTATACTTTTATGTGCATGTTGCCTTTAAGTTACACATAAGCTGGTATTTCTCTTTGATATGACATGTAATTGAGGCTCATACGACATTTTTTCTGGTGATGCCTTTGATTGTTTTTCATTTAATCTATATCTGGATGTGGGTTTCAGTACCCAGAGAAGCCAACCAGGCAACAGAAGAAAGATGTGAAAGAATTGGTACACAATCCCCGTTCCTCTAATTTTTTTTATCTTTCAATCTGCATTAAGAAGCTAAAGATCGAATTTTAGCTCTTCTTAATTGAGAACGAGCACTAAATAGTTTATATGAGGCTATGACCATGTCGAAGTCCATTCGTTAATGCCAATTACAAATCTATATTTCATTCATGCTCTTTCAAGCACTTGGATAAATATTTTTATTGTGTTGGATTACATTCTGGAAGAAAGTAACAAAACAGGCATTATAATTGTTTTTGTTCCAGTAAATTTTCATTAATCCCTCTTTCACCTTATTTGCAGATGGCGATTATATCTCGCATGTACCCTTGTCAGGAGTGTGCCGATCATTTTAAAGAAGTTTTGCAGTATATGCTCATTTACCCCTCTCCCGTGTTGCCATAAGCTCAATGTTCATATCCAAAGTCGGAATGATATTTTATGATTTAAATTAATTAATTATTCATCTTTTTTGCAGATCAAATCCCGTCCAAGCTGGATCCCAAGCTCAGTTTTCACTATGGCTTTGCCGCGTTCACAATATTGTTAATAGAAGGTATTTTGTGCTGTAAATCTTTGGGCATCTTCTTTAAACCATCCCTAGTAATGGATATGCCCTATTCTTTGACTATTAAATAGTTTAACTTGTCTTTCTTGATAGATTTCCATCATTTGCAATGAAGCCAAAAATTCACTATTTTTTGGCTTGAGAATATGATGGAATAAAACAAAATGGCTCACTAAACTGTCTGGGCTTTTTTGTTATGAAGCAACCGTCAGTACATGCAATTTTGGACACTATTTTCACTATGAGTCATCCGGAAATAGTCTCTATGTGCTTTAGGATAGGGGTAAGACTATGTACATCCAACCCCCCTTACCCCACCGTAGGTAAGAGCCTTTGCGGCACTGGGGTAAATGATGATGATGCCTATCTTGATATACAGTACAAAAGATGATCTAATATACCATCACTCTTGCTGAGTAAATTTATGTGATTATTTGGTTACTGAGTTTTGCCAAAATGGTTGATAGACTGAAAGTAGAAATTGTGGCTAAATGAGTTGACTAGACTGAATTATCTGAGAAATAAATACTTTTGAAACATGTACTCCCTCCGTTTCTAGAAGAAACTCACACTTTCCTTTTTGAGATTTTCAAAAACAAAATCACACTTCCCTTATTTCTTTATTTGACAAAGAAATTTACATCCAAACAGTGCGAAACAGTGTCCAAACAGTGCCAAACAATGTATAAACATTGTTTTCTACAGTAAACTCAATTTATTTCCTTAATAATCGTGAAGTCAAACCGTGACTTTCTTTTGGAAATGGAGGGAGTATTTGTGAATAATTTAAAAAAACCAGTGTGTAAAACGTGACGGTGAGTCTTAATTATTTTCATGTCATATGGCCTGTGACATCATGTATCTATTCATGTTAGCCGACTCCAATATCTTTTGGGACTAAAGCTTTGATGTTGTTGTTGTTTAGACTGACATCTTGCACATAGCGCAATATGACCATTGAGCTAATCCCATGAATTTGGTCTCATAACAGTTTGGCTAAACCTATTTTCCCCTGTGAACGGGTTGATGCACGATGGGGTAAGCTTGATTGTGAGCAGCGAACCTGTGATTTGCAAGGAAGCGACAAGTTTTTCTAACGAAGCATATGCTATGAATTAGTTGCACCAGGAAATCTTTAGCCATGCTTGAATCTGCTGAGATGTAAAGTCTATACATGCAGGCAATGTGAGAACATACATGGTAAACCATTAAGGGTGGTTGAATCGATGGAGTATTTGAACTAGTGATTGAGAGAGATCACGAATTCATTCCCCTACCAATACCTTCTCGGTCGAGCCGTCATGTAGGGCTTGTCTAGTACGGAGTATGTTTTAATTGGCTAGCACTTAGCAGTTATCAAATCAATAGCACTTAGCATAATTTAAAAGGCCCAATCAGTGTCGATCCTACCTAAACTTGGGCGATCGGGCCTGAGGCGGCCTACATAAGTGGGTTTTATACATTGTGTTTGTTTGTCATATAGATTTATCAAAATTCAGTGACTAAATATAAAAAATCGCAATTCTTAAATAAAAGTCTTACTCCCTCCGTTCCTTAAAACTTTGTCATCTTTCCTTTTTGGGACGTCCCAAAAAACTTTGCCACTTTCCCTTTTAATAAATTATTTTGTGGTTTCTGTTATTTCTCTCTCTTCTGCACAAATCTTAACCACACAGTTTTTACTTTCTTATTCTCCGTGTCAGTCAACTTTGGCAAAGTTTTAAAGGACGGAGGTAGTACATTGTAACAAAATGACATTGAATATATCAAAAAACTAATCAAGTATAACTCATTGAATAGCTTTAAATGCAAAAGTAGTAATCACGTTCACTAATTTATGTCATCGATAAATTCTTTCTCAATTGATAAAATAATTAATCCATTCAACCTTTCTTGAGACATGGTTGGCCATGAAAATATTTTTATATGCTTCGAAAACTTTGAGAAGCATGTCAATTGTCAAGAGTGTCATGAAGATTATCAATTATTACATTTTCTTCAATCTCATTTGAAGTGCCCTCCTTTTCACCTTTTACATTTTGTGAAGATGTGACTTTTTTATTTGAAAAGTATTTATTAATGTTCCTGATCTGACTTTGAGTTAATGATTCAATACATAATTGCCTTTTCTTCTTTTGAGATCCAGACAAAAATAAAAAATACATAATTTAGTGGTATCCTTAACAATATATATTTGTAATTAGTAATTTTCTCTATAAAATACAAAGCATATAATATTATAATTAAATTAATTGTAAATCGAGAATTCCGTAATTGTAATATTGATAAATGGTAACCCTAAATAAATAAAAAACAAGCAAAGAATGAAGTACTATTTACAAATAAGCAAGAGTCGATTAACTATAGTTTATAGAAGCTTTAAGCTAGAACTAGTGCGAAGCCAGAGTCACTTCTTCGGGCCAGAGAAGAAGTCAAGTAGAGAAAAGAGAAGGCCGACACGGACTTCCTCCAGAGCCAGCGGCCGCCGGCCGGCCAGCAAGAACTAGTGATTCAGTCCTTCTTTCGTAACTTCTTCGCCTCTTCTGTGGACCGCAGCAGTCAGCTTCAGTCACTAACTCGTTCGTGTCCTTTCGCAAATCGTTGAGCGCAAATTGTATAATACTATTTTTTTGTAAAATTTTGGGCACCTGATTTTTTCATATTTTTTGGGCCCTCATGCTTGGGTCTCTCTAGCCTTACATAAGACACGGTTCTGGGCCCAATTGACAAAGTTAAAAAGATATTATGTTGCAAAATATCAAAGATATTGCAATTTTGATAAATAAGAAATCTTTTCATGAATTCTAAAAAAAGAACTTTCATGAACCAACAAATACATAAAAAAACACTAAGATTAAGTTACGTAGTTATAGTATTTAGGTTGTCCAAGTTGATAACATAATGACATTTTAAGAATTGAAGGGATAGTGAATCTCAGTCCATCAGTTCTCCTGGAGAAAACATTAGGGCCTATTTGACAACGCTGAATTCAGTTTAATAGGCTAATAAATCTACCCAAATCGATGATAATTGACTAAATCTGCTAAATTATGGAAAATTATTTTTAAAATATTCTTTATTAATAAAATTCAGAAAGTTTGTGTCAAAATAGATATGATGGTCTTCTGCAGTAACTTCAGTCAATTTATTTAGCTAGAAAATTAACTTCAACTCAACATATTTTTATTACGGAGTATTTTACACAATTTGTTATCGTCAAGTTATTGTGTTATGTAGTCTGTGAATAGGATAAATCAAGATAAATTCTCTAATTAAGACCAAAATGTGAGTCATTCATTCCTAAAAAAGTTTAGTTGTTTCTATCTGTTAAACTAAATAAATTATATTTTGTATAGAAATTACTCCAAATAGGACTAAAATTATGGCAAAAACTCAAAATAGGACTTACTATGTTTTCTTTTCAAAATAGGACCAAATTAGTCCTATTGGAAATATACCTATTTTTTCCTTCCATTCTTACCCTTCCTTTAAATATGAGTTAATTAAATGTTTAGTTCATAATAAATTCGATAAAAAATCAAAAATTCGTAGAAAAATAATTAAAAAAGTTATAAATTATTTATAAAGTAAAAAATTAAAAAAAATAATTTTTTTAAAAAAAAAATAATAAAAAATAGTAAAACTCCATAAAAAATTAAAAAATATATGGATGCCTTTCCCACCGCCTGTACTACCTTCGTGCACCACCATCTCCGGGCGGTGAAAAATGTCATTTTCCCTAAAACTGTCATTTTTTTCTGAAAATGCCAAAAACATGGCATATTTCTCTTTGAGAATGCCAACATTTTCATTGTTTTCTGCCATAAATATGGCATTCGTAATGAACTTGGCATTTTTTCCCCTGGTGATTGGAGGTGGTGGTGCAGAGGCGGCAGAGGCGGCGGTGAATTTTATTATATTTTTTTGAGTTTTTTATTTTTTTTTTGAAAAAAATTATTTTTTTATTTTTTGAAAATAAATAAATAAATAAATTATTGTTATCGAAATATTTTTATTAATTTTTTAGTATTTTTTAAGTTTTTTTTTTTATTATTATTTTATTATGAATTAAACATTTCAATAGCTATAAGGGTATATTTGTTCAAGACACACATAATTAGTCCTATGAAAACATAGTTTATTTTTTGATCCTATTTGTGCAAAGTGCGTAAATAAAATCTTGTTTGTGTAATCTACACTTTACTTCTATTTGAGTAACTACATTTTTCACCCGTGTGTTGCACGTGATGCAGTTATTGAGCAATAAATTATTTGAAAAATATAAAGAAATTTTTGTAAAGAATTTTATTCATTTTTAGTTATACTTACATTATTCTAAAAATTTGACTATATTTTTTTACCTGTGCATCGTAAGGTTATTCATAGGTTTATACGCATCTCTGGTCGATTGATTAGTCGGTTCAAGGCTTATTTAACTAAGGACCTATTCATAGGGCTCGTTTTTCAAACGTTCTTCTACAAGATTCAGGGCTTATTTAACTAAGTTTTTTTTGGGGAAATAACAAAGGGTTGTTAATTATATGGGTTACGTTTTAATACGGAGTAAGTATTTATACAAAATCCATATATAATTAATATTAAAAAAAATTGTTATGAATCAGTTGTTTGTTAACTATTTAACAAATTTGTTTGCTAAAATTCCTTGTATTATTTATTTATCAAAGGGTTGTTCGTCATATGAGTTTCTAAATGGATTTAGATTGTTTTTACATGAACTTATTGCAGTCTCACCGGAAGAATTATGGTTCAACAAGTGCTAATTCAAACGCTCTCATTAACTTCATCTGATGTGAGGCTTCCTTTTAAGTTACGGCGAAGACAGTTTTCAATAATGGTTGCTTATGCTATGACCATTAATATGAGTCAATGACAGTCTCTTTCACATGTCGGTTTATTATTGAAGAAACCGGTTTGCAGGCATGGTCAGCTATATGTGACAGTTTTGCGAGTTACGAACCCCAAAAGATTGAAAATTTTAATTTTAGATGATAACGAACAAAGCTTGAATGAGACAACAAATGCTGTTTACAAAGATGTACTACAAAATATTTAAAATTTTCATGTTATGTGATGTTGAATACTCCCTCCGTCCCAATTTGATGGTCATGTATTTCCTTATTGGATTGTCCCAATATGATGGCCCTCTTTCCATTTCTAGTAAACAACCTAAAGTTCATTCTCATATATACCCTTAAATAATCCCCCCCCCACCAGCCCCCCCTTTTTTTTATCTTCTGTACGTTTGCATTAACCCCCACTCCCTCTTTGTGTCACCCGCTCCTCTCTCTGTTCCTCTCTCCTCCCTTCTTCGTCCCTATCTTTTGATCTTCCTTATCATCTCATCTGTTTTTGTCTTTGTCCTCGTCCGACCCTTAAACTTTACAAATGCAATTGCACTACAACGTTGAGTCTGTTGAAACCACAATCGGTGTAGATGTAGTGTTTCCGGATTCTATATGTCCAAATCTTCAATCCAACCGCCATGCAGAGGCGTTGATTGAATCGGTTGTGGAGGAGACGCGGATGGAAAGCTCACGTGACGACGATGATGGTGAGAAGCGAAAAGGTGAATCTGGATCTAGCAGAAAGCTTAGAACTTTAGGTTTGTCGGTCAAACACATGAAGACTAGAACTTGCATTGCCATCCAGAATTGTAAATCGAGGATACTTATGTGCTGGACCATAATATTCGTGACAATGGCTTCTACCATGAAAGCTATGTTTTTATACCTTACTCTTTCTTTATTTCTCTGTTTATACGATTATGTTGATGTTTATGTTTGGCTTAACTGATGATGTCAATTGTGGGGTTATACGTATTTGGTTTATGTGTTCAGCTACATGTTGGAGGTTATATGTTTGTATTGAGAGTCACCCTTGTATGCTAATGATACTTATGTGTTCTGTGATGCCTCAATGATGAAATTTAAATGTGTGAGGGTAATTTGAGATTCAAGTAAACATGAAATTAATTCTATGATGATAATTTCACTCTGTAAGAGGACTTTATATGTTCAACTACATGTTGGAGGTTATATGATTGTATTGAGAGCCACCTTTGTATGCTAATGATACTTATGTGTTCTGTGATGCCTCAATGATGAAATTTAAAATGTCTGAGGGTAATTTCAGGTTCAAGTAACTTGAAATTAACTTTATGATGCAAATGATACTCTCTTAGAGGACTATCTGTTCAGCTACATGTTGGAGGTTATATGATTGTATTGACAGCCACCCTTGTATGCTAATGATACTAATGTGTTCTGTAATGCATCAATGATGAAATTTAAAATGTCTGAGGGTGATTTCAGGTTCAAGTAACTTGAAATTAACTCTATGATGCAAATGATACTCTCGGAGAGGACTTTATCTGTTCAGCTACATGTTGGAGGTTATATGATTGTATTGAGAGCCACCCTTGTATACTAATGCTACTTATGTGTTCTGTGATTCCTCAATGATGAAATTTAAAATGTCTTAGGGTAATTTCCGGTTCAAGTAACCTGAAATTAACTCTATGATGCAA